GAAGGAAGGAAGGAAGGAAGGAAGGAAGGAAGGAAGGAAGGAAGGAAATCAAAGTCAATACAGCCTTAAAACTATAACCATGTTTAGTCCATGGTGGTCTGATAGGATACAAGGGATTATTTTAATCTTGTATTTGTTGAGGCTTGCTTTGTGACCAACTATATGGTCTATTTTGAGGAGGTTCCATGAGGTGTTTGGATGAAAAGTTCTGTTAGGTCCATTTGATTCATGACATCCGTTTCTTTGTTTAGTTTCCGTTTTGTTGACCTGTCCTTTGAAGGGAATGGGGTGTTGAAGTCTCCCACTATTAATGTGTGGGGATCTATGTGTGGTTTAAGTTTTATTAATGTCTTTCTTTCTTCTTTCTTTCTTTCTTTCTTTCTTTCTTTCTTTCTTTCTTTCTTTCTTTCTTTCTTTCCTTCCTTCCTTTCTTCTTCTTCTTCTTTTTTTTTTTTTTTTAAACAAATATGGGTGCCTTGTATTTGGGGCAAAGATGTTCAGAATTGAGATGTCTTCTTGGGGGAATTTTCCTTTGATGAGTATGAAGTGACCTTCCCCATTTCTTTTGATTAATTTTGGCTGAAAGTCTATTGTATTAGATATTAGAATGGCTACTCCTGCTTGTTTCTTGGATCCATTTGCTTGGAAAACCATCTTCCAGCCCTTTACTCTCAGGTAAAGAGCTATCTTGGGATGGAGGTGTGTTTCTTGTATGCAACAGAATGCTGGGTCTTGTTTATGCATCCATTCTGTTAGCCTGTGTCTTTTTATTGGAGAGCTAAGTCCACTGATGTTGAGAGAGACTAATGACAAGAGACTGTTGGATCTTTTTATTTTGATGTTGGTTGTGGTAATGTGTTTGTGTGCTCAGCTACTTTCAGTTTTGCGGTAGTGAGGTTTATTTATTTCCTGTGTTTTCTAAGTGTAGTTAGCTTTCTTGGGTTAGATTTTTCCCCAGGTGGTCCTGCAGAGACTGATGTACCAAGGACCATGCATGAAGAGGATCTACAGCCCCTGCTCAGATGTAGCCAACTGGTAGCTCAGTCTCTGTGTGGGTTCCTGAGTAAGGGGAGCAGGAGGCTGCCTCTGTCAGGAACTCGGTTGCCTGCTCTTTGACCCCTTGCTCCTGGTGATGCAGCATTGTTAGGCCACAGAGGAAGAGGATCCAGGCAGTCCTGATGAGACTTGATAAGCTATAGGCGGATGGCAGAGGAGGAGAAGTCCTCCTTTAAGTGGACTAGAGGAAGGGGGTGGGGAGGGAGAATGAACATAGGTTGGGTGGAACTGGGAGGAGTTGAAAGAGGGGGCTTCAATTGGGATATATAATGAATAAATTGTAAAAAAAGAAATTAAAAATTACTGAAAGACTCTACCTAGCAGTGTTTCAAAGCAGACACTAAGACTCATAACCAAACCCTCGGCAGAGTGCAGGGAATCATATGAAAGAAGGGAAGTTAGTATGATATGGAAAGGATAGGAGCTCCACAAGGACCAAATATATCTGGGCACAGGGTCTTTTCTGAGACTGACACTCAACCAAGGACCATCTATGGATATAACCTAGAACTTCTGCTCGGATGTGGCCTGTGGTAGCTCAGTAACCAAGTAGTTTTCCAAAGTAAGGGGAACACGGACTATTTCTAATAGGATCTCAAGGGCAGGCTGTTTGACCCCCACCCCAGGGGAGGAGCAGTCTGTTAGGCCACAGAGGAGGACTTTACAGCCAGCCCTGAAGATACCTGATAAAACAGGGTCAGATGAAAGGGGAGGAGGTCCTCCCCTATCAGGGGACTTGGAAAGGGGCAGGGAGGAGACCAGGGAGGGAGTGTGGGGTTGGGGAGGGAATGAGGGAGCGGGATACAGCTGGGACACAGAGTTAACAAAATGTAACTAAAAAGAAAAATAAAATAAAAAAAAAGAAATTAAAAATTAAAAACTATGAACCTAATTATTTGCAAAACTATAATTTTATGTGTATTAATATAATTTACATGCTATTTTACTTGCCTAAAACATATAGTAGTTCTGTAATACTTTATTCATTACTATATTACAGCTGAACTGTGTAAAATGTCAGTTTGAACATTCTTTTTTAATATAATTTTTTATTTATTACAATTTATTCACTTTGTATCCCAGCTGTAGCCCCACCTTCATTTCCTCCCAATCCCACCCTTCCTCCCTCCCTCTTCTCCTCCCATGCCCCTTCCCTAGTCCACTGATAATGGAAGACCTCCTTCCCTTCCATCAGACTCTAGCCTATCAGGTCTCATCATGATTGTCTTTCATAGTCTTCCTCTGTGGACTGGTCAGGCTGCTCCCCCTTCAGGGGGAGGTGATCAAAGAGCCAGCCACTGAGTTCATTCATGTCAGAGACATTCCCTGTTCCCCTTACTAGGGTGCCATTTGGAGACTGAGCTGACACAGGCTACCTCTGTGTAGGGGGTGCAGGTCATCTCCATGAATGGTCCTTGGTTGGAGTATCAGTCTCAGAAAAGATCACTAGGCCCAGTATTTTGGTTCTGCTGTTCTCCTTGTGGAGCTCCAGACACTTCCAGGTCTATCTTCCCCTTCTTTCATAAGATTCCCTGCACTCTGCCCAAAGTTTGGCTGAGTCTCAGCATCAGCTTTAATACCCTGCTGGGTAGAAAATTCTTAAAATATAAATAGTAGATGAAAAGACATTGTTAACCATTATCTGCAGGGATTCGTAAGCACTCCCTAAGATCCAAAAAGCTGCAAATGGATTATATAAGCTTATCTTACAAAGTAAAAGCCAGAAAATAATTTCTAATGGCCAATATGAAATAACAAAGGTAACACTCTTCACACTATGGAAATTGCTAGAACACTGGGCAAAAAAAAAAAAAAAAAAAAAAAGAGAGAGATAATTATTTAGGCAGCAGAAAATAAACAATGAAGGATGGTAGCATGTGAATAAAAAAGACATGAAGTGACTCACAGCTCCTTGGCTTTCTCTCTGAAGATAATTTTCAGGTTGTGCTATGGGGAGAATGAATTCAAACAGCTTTGGAAATACACCAGAGGAAAGGGAGTGAGGCAATGACAATTCCAGAAATCTTCAGAGGGATGACTTGAGTCTGGAACCAATAGTAAGCCAAACTCTCACTCAATGACTTACAGGGAGCAGATGGGTATTGCCAGTGTATCTAGTCTTTCTGGTCTAGGTGCATGTTCTATTCAGTGTTTTTTCTCAGCATGATTAAACTCCACGTACTATCAAGAGCAATTCATTTGATAATATACTCTTTGAAATGTATCAAAAAGACTAACAAGAATGTAGATTGAACTACATGAGATAAAGGAAAACATATGAGACCTATATGCTGCTCAAGTACCAGGACTCACATGGTGATAGGAAATAGGGTTCTTTTTTGTTGTTGTTTTTTTTTTTTGGTGAAACAGCAGGCATTCACTAGATACCTCAGAAATTTTACACTTTGGCAGAAAATCTAACAATCCCCTTAGTGATATTTTTCATATTTTTCAACATACAGCTTTTAAAAAAAATGGCTATGGCTGGTGGGGTTGCTCACATCTTTAACTCCAGCAGTCATGTGGCAGAGCTCTGTGAGTTTGAGACCAGTCTGATCTACATAGTATGTTTAATACCAGCCAGGGCTACATAGTGAAATCCTGTCCCACAAACAGAAGTTATAGAATGTGAAGCTCAACACAGACTTGCAAAGACACCTGTCCTATTATAGTTTACATTGTATCTAGTTCCCCAGAGGGAGAAAATAGTGTTTTGTTTTCTTTACGTTTCACTTTTTATGTGCAAGGGTGTTCTGCTTGTTTGCATGTCTGTGTACCAAATGAGTGCCTGGTGTGCACAGAGCCAGAAGAGAGCACCCGATTCCCCAGAATTGGAGTTACAGATGGTTGTAAGCCAACCCTGGGTTATCTGCAAAGCAACCGGTGCTCTTAACCTCTGAGCCGCCTCTCCAGCCCTGACACAGTGATTTTTCTTCATGTCATTATGGTTACATTTATATTATATAACATGGACTGAGGAAAGAACAGATCAGCAGTGAAGGAGTTAGAAAGCCACATCAGTAGCGCAGTGAGAACTAATGAAGACCTATACAGCAGCACTAGGGCTGAGAAGGGGGAAGTGCTTCTCTGAAGGTTCTAACTGACCAGAGGTGATTTTTTGAGAAAGAAGAAAGGCTAAAGAAATGTCTAAGTTATCTAGCTTGAGGAAAAAAAAAAAAAGTGTCTGATAGGACACTTGCAAGTGAAGCAGGTTTGTTGTTTGGAGAAATTTGAAATTCTTCTGGAAAAAGCATGTAACAGAATTTGATAGCTATTTTTTTAAATTATTTTAACTTTTATTAATTACAGTTTATTCACTTTGTAGCCCCCCTATAGCTCCCTCTCTCCTCCCCTCCCAATCCACTCATAAGGGAGGTCCTCCTCCCCTTCCCTCTGA